CAGTATTTTATAAATGAAGGGGAAGAAGAAGGGGGTTCTGGGGTTTGCTGGTCACCACGAGGGGGCTCCCCCTGCAGAGAGCAGGCTGTGCAAGGCCCCAGCCTTCCAAGAGGGCGAAACCTGGGCAGCACCTAGCGTAGGGAGTGCGCTTCCCAGACGGCCCGTGTGGCTCTGCTCAGCCCTGGGCTGCCCGTGGCCCCAGCCCAGGCAGGCTGCTTCTCTTCCTGGAAGCCTACTAGGACTGGTGCTGAGGCTGGGGGGTGGCTGCTGCCAGCACTCGCAGGGGCAAGGGCTTGCCCACTCTGTACTTGGGGGGGGAACATGCCACGTGCTCTGGGGTCGGGGGGTCCTCTGGTCTCTGGCTGAGGAAGTGGGGTGGGGGCAGGAGAGGAAGGGGCCACTGGCAGGACGGGCAGGCCTGGCTGGCACTGGTGATTCATCTGGGGGAAATACTTGGGCCTTGCCTCTGAGTAGTCCTGGTCCCACAACGAGCTGTGGGGTTGCGGCTGCTAATCGCCTCAGCGTGCGCTGTCAGGGCCGCGCTGGCTACCCGGGCTCGTGTGGTCCTTGGGTGTGTGACGAGGAGACTGGAGGGGAGCCGGAAGCAATCTCCGTGCACAGCGCTGGCCGGGCCATTGCTGGAGTAGTGTGCCCAGGCCTGCAAGAAGTGGAAATAGTGGCCAGTGTTCAGAGGAGGGCCCCAGAGACGGTCCGGGGGCTGCAAATCAAGCTGGACGGTGCGAGGCTCGAGAAGCTCCGTGGATTCGGTTTCTCAAAGAGAAGAGCGAGGGACGACTTGCTCGCCCTGAGCAGGCGCTTGCACGTGGAGACGAGATCTGATCGTGGGGGCTTCTCAGCCTTGCTGACAAAGGCATAACAAGATTCAGCGGCTGGAAGCAAAAGGCAGAGGCATTCAGCCTTGAAATAAGATGCAATTTCCTAGCTGTGAGGATAATTAAACATTGGAATGGCTCACCGGGGGAGGGGCAGGCTCCCTGTGGCGTGGAGCCTTTAGATAGAGCTCTTTAATCCAGCTGCTGAGGGACCGTGTATGGGCTGTATGTGCAGGGGGCAGGCCAGCTGGCTGCCGAGGTCCCTCTGGCTGGAGTCTGGGAATCTCCCTGTGCATTCCCTTCATCCCTGCGCCTTAGGGAGAACTGAATTGACTGATTTAAGACCGTGGCTCTAATCAAAGCACATGCTTCAGGGCTGGAGCCAGTTGCTTAGAAGGGCCAGGAAGGATTTTTCTCCAGTGCACAAGTAGCTGGCTGGAATCTGCTGGGGGAGGGGAGTCGCTTTCCTCTGATACAGCAGGGAGCAGCCAGAGCTGGAGATGGGACATGGCTGCATGTGTACAGGAAGTCCTCCTTCTTAGCTGTCAGGCTGATGTCCCCTGCTCACGTCCTCAGGGTCAGAATGATCCCCAGATGTGGGGCTGGGAAGGAATTCTTCCCTCCCCCGCCCAGCTCAGATTGGCAGGGATCGTGGCAGGAAGGGGTGGTCTCAACACCTTTCGCAATGCAGGGTGAGTCCCTGGCTAGCCCGGCCTGGGCACTTACCCGATCACTCCCTGCTGCCCCAAGGGGCTGGGGCACACACAGTAGCTTAGACTCTGGAGGCCTGAAATGCTTTCGCCCAGCTGACGCCATATGGTCACTCACGGTAATGGTGTGCGGGTGAAGTGTGGTGGCCTGTTAGATGCGGGCAGTGGACCTGCATAGGCTAGTGATTCCTTCGGGCCACAACCGCTGTGAATCTGCGAGCGTGCTGGACCCTGTAAACCCCTGTGGAGGCGCCGCGCTTCCCAGGAGTGCAGTGACGAGGGCCGCTCCTGTTCCCACTTCCATTTGCATTCATTCTCGCTCCCTCCCCATCCCCTCAGCTCTTTTTCCTTTATTAAAGTGTAATGGGGCTTGACTGCTGACACAGCCCCCGTAAGGCTCCGGCGTCATTCTCCTCCCTGCTGCTCCCAGCCCGCTTTGCAAGGGACACCGAGGAGGGACGCCAAGCTGCCCACGGCCAACCACGTCTTTGTCTTTCTTTATTTCAAAGGCAAACGCCGCCTCCACCCGAGTCCCTGGTGTTGATGGGAGTCGACGTCTCGCTGCTTGACCCAGAGCCAGCACGCTTGCCTGACGTGTCCAGTCTGGTGCTGTCCACGCCGCCTGAGCGAACCCTGGCGTTCTGCGATGCCAGGAATCCACGCAGCCTGCCGTGGGCTGGAAGGAACCATTGCTGTCTGTCTTAGTGTAGTTTGTCTTGGTTTTGGTTTTGCCTCCTGCTGGCTGACGAATGGGACACGCTTGGGTTGGAGGGATGCCCTTCTGAGTGAGGAAGGGAGCAGGTGACACCAGGGTAGCCGACCCAGCTGTGTGTTAGTATTTCTGCTGAGATTCATTCCCCCCTCCCAAGTGGAGAGCCCAACTCGGAGCCGCCTTGGCAAGGACATTGCAGTGTCGCGTGGCGTGGGCACGGGACTAGGAATCGAGATGCTTGCGCTGTGTTCTGGCTCCCTGAGCAACCTTGAGCAAATCACCCAGTGCAGCGCGGTGCCCAAGATCCTCGTCTGCGCAATGGGTTTTGCAGAAGACGTTGGCCTGCCTTCTGTGACACGCTTTGAGCGCCGCCGGTGACCGGCAGGTGTGAGCGAGCGGCACCGCCACACGCAGGCCTGGCCCACTGATGCCCAGGGAAGCCCTTGAAACAGAGCATGTGAGCGGCACGGAGCCTCCTGCTGCTTCTCTGCACAGGGTGAGCCCCTCGCAATAGCCAGCGAGGGCGAAATCCTGGCCCTCTTGAAGTCAAGGAGTGTTTTGCTGCCAACTTCCATGGGGCCGGGATTCCACCCTGCATATTCCCACCACAGTTATTACTGGATTTATTGTTGTTTTAATCAGAGATCCCCTTGGCAGACACCATGGCAGAGGATAGTTGTGAGTCTTTTCATTGAGCCCCAGTACGGTGTCCTCTTGTTTCAGGTCTCTGGTGTCAGTGCTGGGAGTAGCCCCTCTGTGCTGCAGGCTGTGTGTGTTTTACCTTTCAGTGGGAGATGCCTGCTCACGCCCTGGCCAGCTCTCCTGGATGGCACATGGCAGCCTTCTGGGCCAAGTGTTCTAAACAGAAGGTACTTTGCCTTGTGAAGGGGGCAGGAGCCAAGTCTGGGTGTTCTCCTTTTTGCCCCAGTTCTCCCAGGAATGGGTGAATCAATTCCACCCCCTGCCAGCACTATCCCATGCATCTGTCCTCCCCCTTCTTTCTGTGGGGTAGAGGGAATATTGGTTTTTAACAGGAAAATACCCTGTCACGTGAACACACATGCATTGGATGTTACAGCTGGCTGCTGGCTGATGGTAGATGAGATCAGCTACTCCCAACCCCAAGTAATGCTCTGGTTTTGCACCCAATGCTGTTGCTGCTTGTGCTGCCTGCCGGGTGACATGCTACAGGACAGGCGTTTTATGTGTTGGTCTGAGCTAGAAGACTAAGACCTGTAGGGACAGATTTTCAAAGGTATTTAGACACCTAAGGAAGCCGAGAGATGCCTGGGTAGCAGGTGGGATTTTTGAAAGTGCCTATCTCCATTTTCATGTGCCCAAACGCCTTTGAAAATCTGGCCTTAGGTGCCTCTGCTACTTCTCAGAATGGGACTTAGGTACCCGAGTCCCATGAGCGCTTTTGAAACTGTTACGGCTTATTTTTACAGCCCCGGTTACCTTCTCTGTCTGACTTACCTCCACTTTGCATTATTAAGGCAGAAGAAGTTTTAAAAATCGAATTTTCCTTATCACCGTCCACCTCGCTTGTTTCCTTGTTATACTTCATTCCACTTGGACAATGAAAGCCACTTAGTTTCATTGTGTTTCAGTCACTTTTGTGCTGGCATCTCATTCACCAACCTCTATAGATTGCCAGCACTACAGGGGGGTTGATTTCCTCCTGATGTGTTCATCACTCGTTTGTCGGGCTGTTTAAAATCCTGAAAATGCTTCAGTTAACACTGTTTTGTGAAACGCTTTTGCTTAAAACAAGCACAGATGTGGGGCTGATACCGTCCCCAAACCCTGCTTGCCCCTCGCTCACACCCGTGTAATTGTTAACTTCAGCAAAGTTGGCCCTGATTCAAAGTCGGATCTGGAACCTGTTGAAGTGGATACCGGATCCAAGCTCAGCATCTCCAAGCCCAATACTCACTGACTATCAATATGTCTCCACTTTGAGCTGGGAACTGCAAATTTCAGCTCAAGGAGACATACCTGCACTAGCTTTGATCCCGCTAGCATGCTAAAAATAGAGCATAGCACTGACACCAGTCTGCGATCCCTGATACATACTCAGGGCAGCTAGCCCACAGCCGTGAGTACACTCTGTGATGAGCAAGCTAGCATGATAAGAGCTCATGCGGGTATGTCTCCCTGAACTGGAATTTCCACCTTCAGTTGGAAGCATAGACATATCCACCCATGTAAATGTACAGACGTGCACAGCTCCGTGCTAATTCTTTTCACGAGAGATTTGCCATCCCTTAAAGGTGAATTTTCCCCCTAATGTGTGTTTACAGGTCTCCAGCCAGGTCCTCATCTTCATTTTAGCCTGTATCAGATGCCTGCATTTTTTAGTCTGAGCGTGGTGGGGACGCAGGAAAGGGAATATGAATGGGTCTCCATGTACTAGGATGTTGCGTGTGTTCTTCCCTTCCCCTCCCTAATGTTATGTAACATTTGAGAAGGGAGATAATAAAGTTTTGACACTGCACCAACTGCCTGGCCTTCCTGAAACGCCACATGTCTCTGTTCCCAAGTTTTAAATATTCTTAGACTGTCTCCAGCAGGGAGCTAATTCTGCTACTGGGCTGGTGAATCACAGGTAATTAACAAGTGTGTTGAACCTCACGGTCCTGTTTTCTATATTCCCCCTCTTAGGGATCTAAATGCAGCAGTGGAAGCTGAGCCACAGGTACATTTTTAGCCTTTTTGTAGCGAGTTTCTCTGTTGAAAGCACTAAGCATAATGCAGCAGTAATTGCCGTTCTGCAAAGAGTCGTCATTCTTGGCCTTCTGAAGCTTGTCATTCACTCTCATCTGGCAATTAGAGTCTATTTAATATTCTCCACCAAGAAACATCTACAAATGCTACAGTATTGTTCCATAAAGCTGCATCGCTATATATATATACACGTGTGGTTTTTATCCCACCGGGCATTGACTTTCAAGGTTTCAGATTGCTTTTTAATAGCTGTTTTGCTTTTCCCTTTTAAACTCACCATGCAAATTGCTGTTGCAATTGTTCTGATGATGGTGCTTGGTGCTGTCGGTGGCTTGAAGGCACAGCCTGTTAAGGACTAAGCAGCTCCTCCAATTCTTCCTTCCTCCTCCACCCTCCTCTCCCCATGAGGTCAAGTACAGAGGGGAATCAGTTCTGCCATCTGTGAGGAAGGAGAATGCTGGCTGTGGACTACCAAACTGGAATGTTTCCCTCCTGGTTCATTTTAAAGCAACGAAGCTTCAGGATCTAACTTTGGTTGAAAAAATTCCCCACGTACATATGCTAGATAGTTACTGAATGTGCCGAAACAAATGGGCTGCCAGGTAGGGTGGAACATTTTTCTAGAGATTTTATCACATCACATGACAATCTTTAATTAAAGATTAATTTTTAAATTCTGGAGTCTCCAGAATAATCCTGGAGGGATGGCAACCCTACCACATGTTTTCAGAGGACTCCCTGAGAAATCTGGTTGGGAAGGCAGCAGGCTGACAGAGGTGTTTGACTGTTCCCTTTTGACACCCGGGCGGTGCTGGTGGTGTGGGTTACAAGTATTGCCTGGAAATGGTGGGCACTCCTTGAGCAGATTTCCAGCTCGTTTGGACAGTGAAGCCTCTGCAAATGGAAACGAGATCGTTTCTCAATCACTCCTGCCCCTGGCATTTCCCGTAAGGTTCTTCTCTTCCTTTCCAGGCAGCCTTGCCTTTCAGCTGCTGTCCGGCGCTTCCCACCGCAGGTTCCTTTCCAGCATGGGGAACATTGTGCTGCCATTCCTTGTCTTCGCAGTCTGGGCAATAGAAGCTGCGTCCGGCCAGGGGTGACCGAGTGGCCGCTGAGGACATTACTGACAGCGCAGTTAGAGGCAAGGTGGGTGAGGTAATGTCTCTTATTGGACCAACTCCTACTGAGGGTCTTTGGAGTGTGCCCAGAGCTCTTCAGAGTGTCGCTGCTACACCCAAGCTGGGCCGGATAAGGAGTTAACACAAGAGCCCAGTCAAGGTGAAGAGGGCAGCTGAGAGCTGTGACCCGAAGTACCTCCCCCAGACCTGATGACAAGTTCAATGTCACTAAATTTGTCTCTCTTCCCCAAACAAAGCTTATCTGCTGGGTTTCTCCCCCCTCCCCCGGTGGTTCTACTACTCTGGGACCAAGGTGGTGAGGCCAGTGCTGCAGAGGGGATGTTAGTGAAATGCAGGTACAACAGCCGTGACGGGGGTTAGGACTGGCTTCCAGGAAGCGCCTCTACAGTTGGTCACAGTTCAAAGGCAGTCCAGACCATCGGCGCTAGCAGCAGTCAGTATTATTTAGATCATGCTGCACCCGTTCATGGCGCTTTTCAGGAAGACGCTGCAGCCTCTGCCCTGATGACCAACTCACAAAGGGAATCGAGCCTAGAGATTTCCATGGCCCCCTCATTACAGTATCTGAGCACCTCCGTCTTCTCATGTAGTTCCCAGGGCACTGCTACCCCCATTGCATGGACCAGGAACAGAGGGTCGGGAAACCCAGGCCCAAGTCCCCCGTGGGAGTGAGGCACCTAGATGCCTTTGGTTTCAGTGGAAGGCATAAGCTCAAATGCCCTTGAGAAGCTGAGCTGAAGAAACTTGCTGGGGCCAGTGAGTCTGTGCATTCGGGCAGCGTGAGGCTTGGGGGGTGTCCCAGGAAGCCCTGCGGGGGAAGAGACAGGCTAGGCCCGCTGAAGAGCAGGAGGTCTCCTGTGGCTGTGGCTAGCCTGAGAAGAGGGCCGCCAGAAAGAAGGGACAAAAGGATGAACCACCTGGGGGAGGAGCTGGGCTCAGAGGCAGGAAGCCCAGCTGTTGAGGGACGGTTGGGAGGAGTGGATGAACCACCTGGGGGAGGAGCTGGGCTCAGAGGCAGGAAGCCCAGCTGCTGAGGGCTGGTTGGGAGGAGTGGGCAAGGGGAAGAGCGCACAGGCCTCAAGTGAGGCAAGCCAGGTTGGAGCTTGGAAGCAGCTGAGACCTGCCGGCTGCCAGAGGCCTTGGGGGGAAAGGCAGACCAGGACCTATCCCAAGGGTTGGAGTCTAGGAGCCAGCGGTTCGGCTGTTGCTGCTGGGAGCTTGCCTGAGGGCCAAGCCCCGCAGGGCTCACGACTGGCTTTGATGATTGTTACGGGGCACTGGCCTGTCAAGGCCAGAGGGAGGGGCCAAGAGCCGGCTGCATGTGTCTAGGGAGGCAGATTAAGGCTAAAAAATAACTGGAGCAGTCGCTGGGGGAGCAGTCGAGCTCTGGACTATCCCCTCACTATTGCTTTAAGGCCCTGGGTACTTGTGGGGGGGGGCAGTGCGCACAGGAGGTGGGGTATAGGCCTGCTGGAGACAGATTAGGAGGCTGACTAGGCTGGGGCACAGCCCTGGGGAGTAGGGCTATGAAACTCCCAACCGGAGAGTGGGCAGAGGGCTCTTTGGGGGGCAGCTGTTGTGTAGAGCCTGGAAGAAGGAGATGGTGATTTAAATCCTGCAGCTGAGAGTTATTTTTGGGATCTGAGGGAAACTGAGGCAAAGTGCTTGAAGGGCCACCCAAGGCGATGAGGGGGCACCCTGGGACAACTCCTTTCCACGCCATTGTATTTGACTTGGTCTCTGTTACCCTGGGAGGGGTGGATGCTTTCAGCAGCTTGTCTGGCAGAGGCTGAAAATAAGGTGGGAATAGAGGCAGAAAGGCTGCAATACCGGGTCTGACCAGGAGGGGGCACTCCAGAATGCTGAGTCCTGTACCATGCTGGTATAAGATAAAGTGTGAATTTAAACCTCACCAGCCAAATTGGTGTCAAAGGCAGTGTGGACGTACTTGTTTCAGAATTAGGGGGTTATTTAGGTTTCACTGAAATTGATTAGGAACAGGTTGAACTGAACTAAAATAAACCATGCAACCAGATTGGCTTACTGGGGACGTCCTTGGTGAGCTTAAAGACAAAAAGGAAGCTTACGAGAAGTGGAAACTTGGTCCAAATTTCCCAAGAGTTATTAAAAAAAATCTGATGAAGACAGTGCTGTAGAATCAATCCTTAATTTGGTTCCCAAACCCCCCTCACTTCACTATCTCCATTGCACATCCTGTGTTACCACTTGAGAAAGTAATTACAGCAAATAAATCAGCCTCGGTGCCTGCCCTCTGCACCCCCAGTCACTTTAATAGCAATTCCTTTCCTTGCTAGAATCTAGTACAGAGGTTCTTTCCAGGCATCTTACAGTCTTCAGGAAGTAACCCAGGGCTAGTCTCCACTGTACTGCAGTGTACATCCGTTACCTCCTACGAGGAACATACTCAGACGCCTTCCAGTTAACCTATAATTTCATCTGAAACAAAAATAAAATAAATATTCGGGAGACAATCATTACCATCTTATCATTGCAGAGCCTTTGGCCATTATCGAGA